AGAGAGAGAGAGAGAGAGAGAGAGAGAGAGAGAGAGAGAGAGAGAGAGAGAATCACGATCGAGCACCTGTAGGATTTTCCCGCCGACAAACTCGCGGCGAGCACTGAGAAATCCGTTCTCCACGAACTTGGCTCGCCTTCAGATTAAACTTAACGGGAAAATTTAACGTAAGAGTGTCTTGGGAATAAAATTTTCAGGGTGTCAACTCTGTTGTATCTTACACTATAATGAAAATACTAAAAGTGAGCAGCTCTTTCTAACTGTCCGTTTAGGAGACAGAGCCGCTCACTTTTAGCATTTTTACTATATTGTAAGATGCACAATTGATGCCCGGGACAAACCGAATTTATAAAAGTATCTTTTTCGCGATCTTACATGCTTCGCTACAAACTTCATATATAACAGTTTTCTTCGATGTTGTTCACCTTGACATACACATGGGCTTTTTCCAGGAGGAATATAATTTTATATAATAATAAATTTTCAAGTAAGACCCTCGAAACTGAACAATATATGAGAACATGCCTAATGCGGGTCACAAGGCAAGATGTAGGTAGCCCAACTTGTTATAGATCTTCAAATCTTTCTGAAAAATCGTGAATCTATATACCGTTTCTTTCCACATTAGTACTAAGTACGCGCCGAATTGTTTTTCCGGACATAACGCAGTTTGTCTTTACACGCAGATTCTGCTGACGACAATTATTCCGCGTGTAAAGACAAACTGCGTTATGTCCGGAAAAACAATTCGGCGCGTAGTACTAATGTGGAAAGAAACGGTATATACAGGGTGTCTCAGAATTCGCGCATTCGGAATTAATAGCTTGATTATTCGTGCCAAAAAAAGTAATTTTTTCCTCTGGCAAAATTGTGTTTGAACATTACTTTTCAAATAAGAGCAACTTTAAGGTAACGAATAGGCGCTTTAGGTAACGCGTGAATCAGGAGCGGCACGCGCACAGCGTGCCAGCGCGTTTGAGCGTGTATGCTATTTTACTATTTTGATAAAAGTTTTTATAAAAACTATGCATGATACCTAAATATCGTTATTTTGAACACATCTTATCTTAATAAGAGAATATGTTGCAATTAACATTACCGATTAATATTACTGAAGCAACGATTGAAAGTCAAATAAGAAGATTAGATAAGACGTGAATAATTGTGAACCGAAATTATTGTTCCAAAAGAAAATAAATAAATAAATAATAATAAAATTAGCAACATGTCGCAATATACTCCACTCGTATAATTCATCGTGATAATCACACTTCTTTTCCGTGTAATACAGACACGTAAAACACATGAACGTTTCTGTCATGAACGTGTCTGAACATGACAGAAACGTACACGCTCAAACGCGCTGGCACGCCGTGCGCGTGCCGCTCCTGATTCACGCGTTACCTAAAGCGCTTATTCGTTACCGTAAAGTTGCTCTTATTTGAAAAGTAATGTTCAGACACAATTTTGCCAGAGGAAAAAGTTACTTTTTTTGACACGAATAATCACGCTATGAATTCCGAATGCGCGAATTCTGAGACACTGTAGATTCACGATTTTTCAGAAAGATTTGAAGATCTACAAGTTGGGCTACCTACATCTTGCCTTGTGACCCGCATTAGGCATGTTCACATATATTGGATAATTTTATATCTTTTTTATCATAATTAACATAGCGATTGATCGGCAGTGACGGATCGAGGAGTATCGAAGAGTATAGAGAATGGGAACGATCGAGGAATCACACATGTATATATACACACACACATGCACACACACCTGTCGATTGAACGCGTCCGGCATGGTGAACGTGGACGTTATCCAGCAATAAGTGTTGATGACATTCACGGGCAGGCCCTGGACGATGCAGGAGATCGGGTTACCGACGTACTGGGAGGCCGTGATCAACACCGAGCACGTGAACAGCAGCACCGTGGTGAAGTGGTTGTGCATGCGAAACAGCACGGAGTCCGTGACGATCTCCTGCCGCTTCAAGTACTTGCTTAGTCCTCCCAGCAGCTTGTACATGATCGCGCTTGTTGCGTTCGGGTGTGCCGCGAGGACGACGTCCCCCGCGAAGGAGGACAAACAACGGCGAGGACGCTTGCCGAGGAGCAAGGATATCCAGCGGCGCCGTCACACCTCGACCGCGGCACCGGCACCACCTCTCCGCCTCCACCTCCGCCGACACCAGAACGCGAGTGCACCACGTGCGATCCTCGGGCGCAGCGCGCGAGGTCACCTCTCCACACTCGCACGCGCGCGCGCGGTGCTGGACCTCGCGAGTCCTCAACGGCGATATCCCCCGGGACCACGAGGACGTACAATCAACCGGCACTAACGAGCGTAGCCCATCCACCGCGCTCTCGCGCGAACGAAACCAGCAAAACGAAACGAAAGAGAGACACGAGCGTGCACGGTTGTCCACGCGGCTTGCCTCTCTACCTCCCTCCTTTTTTCTCCTCTGCCGCTTCGCCTTCCTCCTCTATTGCCCCCTCCTCTCCTTGTTCCCTCCTCTGCCTCCTCCCGTGCCCTCTTTCACGGCCTCTCTCTCTCTCTCTCTTTTTCTCTTTCTCTCTTCCCGTAACCCTCTATCCCCGCCGAGGGTCCTTCCTTCCCTCGACCCTCCGTACGCGGAGAGATCGGTCACCGAACCACGCTGGACGAGTTCCCGACGAGTCCTCGACGTGTTCCAGTTCCTCCCGCGAGAGATCGGCGGCTCACGCGCTCGCGTGAATCATTTAGCGAGGCGGGTAATAAAAGCGCCGTTGCGGCAGGGGGTGGGTCGCGGGACCGTCTTCGTCCCTCTTCTCGTCCCACTTCCGTTTCCCCGAGCCCTTCCTCCTATATTCCCCCCCTAAGACGGCTTCCGCGTCTCCTCGGTCCCCCCCAAACAGTCTCTTTCTGTCTCCTTTTTGTCTTAACTTTTTCTATTCCAACAATTATCCTCTTCCACAATCCGGTGTTTCGACCCCGGCGAGTTCCACGAACGGTCCGTCTTCTCGGACAGGTATATCCTTCGCCTCGGCAATTATCGCAGCGTATCACGGAATCCCCGCGCGCGTCTCCGCCGTTAGCATCCGACCGCGACGCCAACGAACGTGTAAACAAACGGCGGCGTCACGCGCCACAAGGATCTTCCTGAGCGGACCGGCCTCCCCGTCCCCTCCTCCCTCGGCGACTCGATTTCTCAACCGATTACCCTCGAGATCTCTCCAGCGGTCCCTTCCATCCGCGGCCGCGGGACGCGCGCGCGTTAAGGTAAAAGAACTAGAGGCCGGCGGGGGCCGCTCGTACGTGGATGTTCCCTTCTCGAGGACGCGAGATTTCCTCCCTCCCCTTTCCTCTCTCTTTTCCCCTCAACGTTCCCGGAGGACTCGCCAGAGCAGCAGAGGCCACGTTGAAATACGGCGAGCGCAAAACGCAGCCGCGCACCGCCGTCGCGTATCGAGGAAGCGACACTAACTACCAACTGTCAATCGTGCCAATCCCCCTCTCTCTCTTTCTCTCTCTTTCTCTCGCTCTTCCTCTATCCCCCTTCCCGGCAAAGTCGTCCCCTCCCCGATCGAGCCTCCGTGCACGGCACGCATGAGGCGAAACAAAATTGTGCAGGCAGCCGCGGCGAGGCGGACGCCACTCTCTAGGTGCCCCGTCTTCTGTTCTTCTCTCGCGAAGGAAGTAAACGCCTCTCCCCCTTCCTCCTAGCTCATTTTTTTCCCACAGAACTACCGTGAGACGGCCGCGTGCGCGCGCGCGCGCAAACGCAGCAGCTCTTAAGCTGCAACTGACGAGAAGTCGCGGTTGTTTGTTGTGTCGTCTAGGGGAAAGGGGGGGCGACGGTGAAGGGACGCCAGGGGCCTCGGCGAGGGTACACCAAGGGACCGACAGAGCGGCGGACGTGCACGGGGGACGGCAGCGGCGACGGGGCGAGGGGGAGGGGTCGGCTCGCGGCCGAGGAAGGGAGAGGGGGGCCCGACGCGCGTCTCTCATCTGCGGGCGCTATAGTGCGCGCCGTCGCTGCTCTACAATACGTGCCGTGCACTCGTCCCGTCTACTACCGTTGCTCACGATCATCCTTTTCACAGGCGGCACTCGGTTCGGGAATAGGGGACGACCCCCGGTATCGCCCGGCGCGCATATGCGGGGTTGCTGGCGGCGTTCCCCCTCCCCCCCCCCGTCTTAACGCCTCCCCTCGCTTTCCGTCCCGCTCTCGAGACCCTCGAAGGGAGATCCCAGACCCGAGAAACTCTACGGTCGGAATCTCCTCGCGCGCGGAACCCAGCGAGAACACTGACGTCGAATCGACGTTGACGCGGTCGAAACCGCGTCCCGACCGTCAGTTTTCGAAAATAATTAAACAAATAAAATTTAGAAGGCTCCGACGTGAAGTCACGAATACGAAGTAATAAGGATATGAGAGCCAAGACAGGATGCTGGTGTCTAAATGATTTTCATTTTTAATTTATTGCGAAAAATTTACCTCAGCCAGAGTTTGAATCTGGACTTCTTTATTTCTCTCTAGACGAGCGTCTCACCAATTCGACCACCGAGGCATGTCGATGAAAATAACTAAGTTTTGGAACTTTAGTTTTTGTATTAAATCACTACGTTTACGTTCCGAATACTTTCAACGTTTTACTAGAGAGAACTGCCAAGTTAACTGATTTAATACAAAAAATTAAGTTCCAAACTTTTAATTACTTTCGAAAACCGCGTCCCAACCGTCAGTTTTCGAAAATGATTATTTGAAACTTTAGTTTTGGTATTTAATCACTCTACGTTCAACGTTCCGAATACTTTCAACATTTTACTAGAGAGAACTGCCAAGTTAACTGATTTAATACAATATTTAATACAAATAAATTCTAGTACAAAAAATTAAGTTCCAAACTTTTAATTATTTTCGAACACCGCGTCCCAACCGTCAGTTTTCGAAAATAATTAAGTTTTGGGACTTTAGTTACTGTACTAAATCACTATGTTCAACGTTCTGAATACTTTCAACGTTTTACCAGAGAGAACTGCCAAGTTAACTGATTTAATACACAAAATTAAGTTCCTAAACTTTTAATTATTTTCGGAAACCGACGGATGGGACGCAGTTTCGACCCCACTGACGTTGATTCGACGTTAGTGCTCTCACTGGGGATCTCGTGTATTCACGTGCACTCCAGGGAGTGGGGCTGGCGGGTGGCGAGAGGGGCCGAGAGGAAGAGACGCGCGTTGGATAACTTGGATACTCCTGCCGCTGTATGTACGTTTGCCCAGTCATTCTACTGCGCTAAAATCTCGTAGTGTGACGCAATATTACAACACGGTAGTTCGTGGAGGTATCGATTGCTTCGTCGTAAGCGTTTTCTTTCGCGAGCGATTTCCATGACGTCTTAGGTATTCATTAGAGAGATCTTCTGTGTCATCGGCTCGCTTAAACAAAAAATGACCGCCATAAGACTTATTTGCAGTCATTGAAATATTTTTTAGCCAGTAAAACGATCTATACAGCATCCATACGGATCTTTTTTTTTTGCTAAATACTCTGAACAGGTATTTAAGATAAAGTAAAATATAAGAATTGGGTGTGTGTGTGTGTGTAAACATGCTTTGGTGTGCACTCGGTGCACTAGTGCAAGCAACCGATTTCGCTATTAATTATGTAATGACAATTATCTCGTAATAATGGAATCTCCTGCATCATCTTGTTGTATCAAGCCAACGGCACACGATACTATTTTTCCTACTGGAATGCTTACGATCAGGGTTTAGCTTTAAGTCACCTGATCTAATAGCGAATTCGGTTACTCGCACCAGTGCACACTGGGTGCATACTAAGGCCTGTTTACGGTCAATTTTTATACTTAACTTTGCCTTAAGTACATGTTGAATGAGTATTTATCAAAAAAATGATCCGCACGGATGTTATACAGATCATCTCACTGGCAAACCAGTATTTTAAGAGATATTTAAGACGATCCTTAAATATAAGAATTGCCAACCGTAAAGGAGGAAAGAAACAACTATTGTAAAACATATATCAACAGACTAGACAATTATCCCATCAACTAGCAAGTAGGTTTCTTGAAGAAAGTCATGACAAAAGAAGACTTGAGATTCAAACCACTGGATAACCAAAAGAGATTCAAATAAATGAAATTGACGCGGAGACTAAGAGGTCCAGGAATTATAACCAAGCTTATGTAAACTAAAGGTTAACATGAGAATATAACCTGGTGTTTTCTAATGGGGAAACACCAGCACACTTATAGTATAATAAAAAATTTACTTATTGTAAAAGTTTGTGACAGATTGCAAATAACTCTGGGAGTTAATGAAAAAAAATATACAGGTTGTCCCATTTTAACTTGGACAGTAAAATATCTCCAAAACTAAGCCCAGCAAACAATAAATGTTTCAGACAAAAATTGTATGGTTTCGAGGGGGACATAAGATGGTGTCACTAATTTGACCTTGAATAGCTGTTTGAAGGTTACGTGAAGGTCACCTTCAATTTTTTTAATGGAACCCTCTATTGTTTATTATTATACTATCTTATTCTACTAATTAATATGAACAACTTTTGTCTGAAATATTTTTTTATTTGCCTAACATTTTTTGAGATATTCAAGAGAAAATTTATAACTTTTTCAATGTTTAACTTATGATATCTCGATAACTGTTTGTCGGAGGAAAAAGTTATGAATTTTCTCTTTCGCTATAAAGCACGGCCTCCTTATTCTTCACGTAAGCAATCCCGTAGAAAAAGTAGAATCGTGTACCGTTGGCTTAGGATTTCGTCAGCCTCCGACCGTTCGTAATCTCGATTGGGATCATCGCCGCACTCGTTATATAATTGAACATTTCGTGGAAGTAAATAATTTCAGCCGACTCGCGGTTTTCAATCAGCGGCGACCTTTGTATTTGTCAACGACGCGTAAAAACATCGACAAAGATGGCCGGAGATAAAGAGAGAAGAGGCTCGCTGCGGAGTGAGCCCACATTATCGCGCGCACATTCGAGCAGCTGGAGTGTACAGATGACGTCGGCACGCTAATTCGCGGTTTACCTTACCAAGGAGAATTCCCGGCGAATTTCATAGCTATCGCGCTTACCGCTTCGCGCACTAAACTTTCCGCGGCGGGAGGCATGAATATTAATAAATTTGAACCGGGTGGAACGTTACTCGGCCATTATTAGAAGATTTTATCGCACAAAGTGTACGAAGATTCGCTGTTTTTTTTTTCATCATAACAATGCGAATTTATACGCGCGAATCTCGCCCGTATCCTCTTAAACCGCAATATCAACTTCCGCGCTTTTTTTTAAATTCCGTATTAGAATGCACGATTCTAGTAAAATTTTATCAAGCCTGTTCCGCGTTCTCGCCGGTATAGCTGGCGAGCGAGCCCTTCAACGGAAAAGAACGAA